AGCATAATGGCGACCAATGTCGCACGCTTCCAGCACCAGGTATGTCTCGCGCTACACTCACAACCTCGTTCCCCAACTCACAGATGCCACTAGCACCCAAGGACCACCCTGCGCCTCACCCAGCTTACAGCAGCGCAGCTCGGCTATGGCTGCGTGCTCCTTCCCTGCTCGCCCGTGAGAGCGTAGGCGCCAGCCAGCAAATAGCGCAGCAGCAGCGCTTGCGCAGCATGCAGCCAGCACCCGAATGCCGAATGAGGAGGCAGGCCCTTTCCTATATCGAAGTGGCCTGCCTGCGTCCAGTCCCAGGAAGCTTCCAGTAGGCCCCGGTAGCCTGAGGCCCAGCACGACGAGAGCAGGCCTTGGGCCTGWRGTGGTTGCATGTGCCCAACTGCCTTCGGCCTGTGTTTGGCCCGGTACCCGAATCCAGCCCAGGGCCTGCTTCACATACATTCACACAGGCGGCCCAGGGCCTGGGTTCACTCAACCAACTGGCGCTGCACAACTGCCTGAATTTCCCTGAGTTGCATGGTGGCCAGAAAAGGTCCCTGAGGGCCTCGTCGAGCCTGCCTTCACTTAGGGCGGCCGACGGGCTGCAAAAATGGGGCCTTATGGGGCTCATAGAGGCAATGGCCTCGCAGGAGATTTGATTTTCAGAAAATAATAAATCCAGTTTCCCAGAATATGACAACCTCTGTCGTTAGCCTAATATGGCTAGAAAAACGAGATGCTAACATCAGGAATTTTCGGCTATAAATGCAAATATCAGAAATTTTCGGATGCTAATATCAGAGAAACGAAATGCTACTATCAGAAATTTTTAGAAAAAACGAAATGCTAATATAAAAAATTTTCAGATAAATCGAAATGCTAATATCAGAAACTTTCAGATAAAACGAAATGCTATTATCAGAAATTTTCAGATATTTGTTGCGAGAAAGAATTTTTTTTTGCGGAGATTTGACGAAGTCCTACTTGATTTACTAGTAATCAATCAATCAATCAATCAATCAATCAATCAATCAATCAATCAATCAACCATTCAACAATCAATAGATCAACCAAGCTGGCTACTTGATTGGGCGGATCCTCTGATTGAGAGGTCCGCTCCGATACTAAGTAACTAAACTGTTGCAAACCGTAGCGGTACAGACGAGAACAAGAACCGGCCTCTCTCACATAGTACAAGATAGCGCAGCGGAAGGCTAATATACCAATGATCAGACCAATCAATGTTGCCATGCAGACCCAACATACGTCATCATCATTCCATGGTGTGAAAGGGCCTGGTGCTCACACAGGAAGAATGCGCCAGTCACCAACCATACACAGACGAAGAAGGGGGGGGGTAGACGAAGAAGAGGGGAAGATGGGAATGTCGTCAACACCAAGTCTTCGGTGCAGGTCCCAAATAATCCCTCGTCCTATGTCTCAATCCCAATGTGGAGTCTGGATCCAAATGTTGTCAAGTCCCAAGGTTACCAATCTCTCTCTCTCTCTCTC